TCAGTGTTCTCCGTCACACTGCGAGGCCATCAGATGTAAGTAGAAAGATTATCTGATACGGTCCTAAATGCCATCGCTTTGATGTCTACTGCTTCTACCTATAACAGGAAAAGTAGTATTTGTAACGTCAATATTTCAAGACCATCCAAGATAACAAATAAAAGCATCACTTCACTATTAAGAATGCAGTTCCGCCCCTTTCCATTACTGCCTTTTGTGAGAGTTCTTTTAGAAGACATGACTGCTAGCAAAAGTAAGATCCTGCCAAATTACAGATTGGAGATACCGAAATCTGATAGGTGAATCAATTTAGATATATGAGAAGCGTATTATCAGAGAAGGGAATGTGGGAATCTGACATCCAAAGGCGCATTCGCATAGCGAAATATGCCTTTCAAAAGCTGAGCAAAGTATTAAGCAACATAAAAATTATGGTAGGAAAGAAAATGTTTAAAACTCAAAAGATAATGAAAACGGTACACAGTCTTCAATGTAGATACACAAAAAGAAGAAGAAAGGACTAATCATCAATTGCTAGAAGACAGAATGTATATATGTTACTTGATATATATATATATATATATATATATATATATATATATATATTAAAATAAAAACAGACCACTTTAAGGTTCCATTTTTTTATTTAAATTTCTCTGGATTTACATTTTTAAATAAAACAGACCTCTGGATTATATCCTCCATTGTTTTTACCCATACAGATTACCTAGTTTTTCATAAACTATATATATATATATATATATATATATATATATATATATATATATATATTAGAAAATATTATATTTATTACCACTCATGATGGTAATAGATAAAAGATAAAAGTGAAAAACGAGTTACCTCATCGGTTTCGAACCTCGCTCAACTACAGTATAGCTGGCCACTCGTATTTGAGGATACTTGTCTGCTAGGGCGGCTAGTCAATCCCTAATGCAGACGCTTGCTCAGGCGCATTGATGTTAATTCAACACCCACAGAGCCCAGCTGTATTTTATACTGCCACTATGCTGAGCAGACCTTAGTTACAGTTTCTGGGAAAGAGCGCGTGATCACCAATTTGAACAAGGCTAGCACGCTCCAGCTCTCGACCACGATGACTTGTGACTTTGTGCTTTCTAATCAATCCGGGGGCTCCAGCTAAAAATGGAAAATAAGGATGTCCTCATGTACCACAATTTTTAGATTTCCACTTCAAGATCCTTGTATTTGGATGTTTTATTTTCCTGGAGATCTTAAACAACACATTATGCAGGGGCTACCATAGCTTTCTTTACGATGTCTGGGGGATTAGTTTTGATTGTTCTGTCTGTGTGTATTGTAAGGTCCCATAAAATTATTACAGGTCCTATATCTGTGGGTGATAATTTACCCATCGCATCCTGTAATTAAACAAAAACAACAAGTTATAGTGTTCAGTCAGTTATGTGCTATGCGTGTATTGCCATCTGCACTTCCTCAAAAGGAAGCAGATTCAAAATCCTAACAGTTTAACGTAGTTTCCATCCCGTAAAGGTAGCATAATTTCCAGCGCAGATATTGACCGACTCTTTCATGTCGCCTTTTGTATTCAGTGGGTGCTGGCACTTTGCAACTTGATACATTATTATTATTATTATTATTATTATTATTTAGAAATAAATAACGCCTACTTTGTTTTATTTTAGAAAACTTAATTTCCATAAAGAGAAAACAAAAAAAAGTTTTTGGTTTGTCAAAAGATTATATGATCGCTCTCCCCTTCAGTACACTCTTACTCTCTTACTTCAACTCTTCCTTTCCCTCTGTCTTCGCCACGGTTTCTTTCTTCCTCTTTTATGGCCTCTCCTACTCTTTCGCTGTCTGTAAATTCGTCTCTTCCTTCCTCTCTTTATTTATTCTCCTTTCTCCACTCCTTCGCTCTACTGGTGCATCTCTCTCTCCCCCCTCTCTCTCTCTCTCTCTCGCTCTCTGGATGCAGACATTGCCACCTGCACTTCTTCAAAAGGAAGCAGATTCAAAATCCTTCCCTGTTACAACTTCCCATGTCGATCAGTGGAATAATTAATTTTATTTAATAAATCACATGTTTGATTAGTTTTCAGAATGGTCTTGACTGCTTAAAGCAAATCGTTTTCAGAAATTGGTTACACTGTTTGCGTCTCCAAAGAAATCTTGCGAATAAATGATGAAACGTTAAAGGAAACAAAACAGAAAAAAAAAAAATACAAAAACCTGTAATTTTTTTTTTTTTTTTTGCATCCGTTTATCTTAGACTATAACAAATTCCGATACGCAACTCATAAACACAAAACAAAGAGGCCCGTCACGTCTACCTTGATTTATTGTCCAAATGACCTTTTTTAACGGTGGAGTAATGGTTACCGGCTCGGATTGAGAAATCGGAGAACTCCAGTCAAATCCATTACATTCCCTTAGGTACTAATACCCTTGGGAAAGGTATGAATTCTTTTCTCTCCCCACCCCCAGCAGCTATGGGTAAATAGACAGGACAGACCGGGTCTTTGGATGGCGTCTGGTCTACCGCAGATAGAAATGGCAAACTACTGCAGGGAAAAAATCTGCCTCGTCAGTCATGTATCGAAAAGATACATATCTGACTGTCATGTGCTATGCGTCATACACGCATAGCACATAACTGAATGAACACTAAAACTTGTTGTTTTTGTTTAAATACAGGATGCGATGGGTAAATTATCGCCATTTTATAATTTTAACTGGGCGCATGCGTGTTGTTTGCTTTTGATTTTGTCTACTGCACGGTATAGTAGGGTCGGTTGGGTACCGTCTGTGAGAAAAAGATCACCTTGGCGAAATTCAACTCGCTAGAAATTTGCTGTTCTCCTTGGCATTCAAGCTAGTAACTCCAATACGAATATTTCAGTGTGTATGAGTCAGTCAGATTCTATTTTCGGGTATGTAAACTAATGGGAGTCATGGGGGAGTAATGGATAGAGGCCCGTATTGAGAAATCGGAGGGCCGAGTTCGAATTCCAGTCGGATCCATTAAATTCACTTACATGCTAATACCCTTGGGAAAGGTATGAATTCTCTTCTTCTACACCCACCCCCGCTTCACCAGCTCTGGGTAAATAGAAGAAATCAGATCGGGTCCTTGTTTAGCAATTGGTTTACCACAGAAAGAAATGGCAACCTAATGAGAAAATCTGCCTCGTCAGTCATGTATCGAAAGATACATGATCGCCTAAGCGTATATCCGGCATGGCACATAACTGATCGTTTAAATTGTCCGTACAGTGCCTGTTGTCACTAGTGCGGGTATCGAATAGTGTTTTGTTCTCGGCGGTAGTTATTCTTGTGATGCAGTCTCATGGTTCCTAATCTTAAAAGACGTTTATTATTATTATTATTAGGTTGGTGCAAAAATAACGTCAAAAAACGACATTATTACGTCATTATTTTTGCACCAACCTAATATTATTCGGTTGAGCTAGCTCGGATATTCACGAGTCTATCACGCCAATCATCATGGTCCTGTATGAAAGTCGGAAGGTCATTAGGCTGTCATCCTGTGTCATATCATAGTTGGTCAAGGTGGCTGGGTAGTATTCGGCCACAAAGTCTAGTCATGTTCTAGTTTCTTTAATATGCACCAAAAGAATTCCGCTTCATCATAAGACCGGTTGATCTGTGACAAGGGCAGTGTTAAATGCAATGTAAGAATTCTTTAACAATTAATTCTGAAACATTCTTCCATTTACTGTTGTACCTTTATAGCAGGGATCGTTAAAGAAGGTCCGAACGGCATCCTATGAATCAGGGAGAAGTTCCAGAGTGGAGACGTTGTTGATAGCTTTGAAGTCGAAAGAGGGTCGGTGTGTGAACAAATTGCACAGGAACACCAGACACACCCAAGTTATACCTGTTAAAATCGGTCTTTGGTATTTTCTTCTTGAGATGGTTTAATATAATAAATATTATATGCATTGTTGTATCCAAGGCATTTTCTGTTTTATATTGACTGCCTTGTAGCAGAATTAACCCTAACTCTAATAATACCTTTTAAGGAAGTGTTAAAGCTATAAAAAGACCCGGTTCTGTGATTGCTATGTTTTGTATGAAGCACATGCAGTTTTCATACATCTCCAAGTATGCACATCTTCGTGTCTTTTATAGGGCACTAATTACATAACTTCTTTGCATTTGAGACTATTCACTCCCTGTTTTAATGGTCTCCTTTACTTTATTAATTGGAAGTGATTAAGAATTTCTGTTTAATTGCATCAGTTGTATTTAGGCTTGGTATATTCGACATATTTGCTTGATTCCTCGAGGAGTTCCAAAAGGTCAACGATTTTCAAAGGATCGAACGGAGGTCGGTGTGCAAATGATCTTGAGCTAAATTTTAGTCAGTGTACATGTATTTTATATTAACAAGTATTAAGTAGCCAAATCTTACAGGAGCAACCGCGCCATTCCTTCTGAAATTTACCTTCTCCTATATGGTGGAAACTTGCTTCAGCCATTCAAACGCAACCCTAAGTAAGCCGAGGAATCGCCTTAACCAGGAAGAACGTGGCGATATGAGATTGATGCTTTTCAAAATTCTGCCATTTATTAATGTCTTTATTCATGATCAACATTTTCAATGATGTATGAATTTCAATAAAAAATATTCCAACAATATGATGCATTTTCTAACTGTTTTTCTAGCTTTTTTATGTTTTATATTGACTGTCTGCTAGCGGAGTTACTCACTACTCTAATAATTAACTTTTAAAGAAATGTCAAACCAATAAAAAAAAACGTTTTAATATTGCTATATTCTTTTGTATGAAGTACAAGCTCTTTTCATACAACTCCAAGCATAGCCATCTTTGTGCCTTCTATAAGGTAGTAATTTTAGAGTTTCTTTGCATTTGAATCATTTCACTCCCTGTTTTAACGATCTTCTTTGCATAAAATATGTTATTAATTGGATATTAGGAGCAATTATGAATTTGTGTCTAATAGCATCGGTTGTATTTAGGCTTGGTATACTTAACATATTTACTTGATTCTGTGAAGAGTTCCAAAAGGTCAACGATAGTCAAGGGGTCGGTGTGCAAATGATCTTGAGGTAAATTTTAGTTAGTTTAAATATATATTGTATTCACAAGTATTAAGTAGCCAAATCTTACAGGAGCAACCGCGCCATTCCTTCTGGAATTTACCTTCTCCTATATGGTGGAAACTGACTTCAGCCATTTAAACGCAACCCCCAGTAAGCCGAGAAATCGCCTTAACCAGGAAGAACGTGGCGATATGAGATTGAAGCTTTTCAAAATTCTGCCATTTATTAATGTCTTTATTCATGATCAACATTTTCAATGATGTATGCATTTTCTAACCGTTTTTCTAACTTTTTTTATGTTTTTTATTGACTGTCTGCTAGGGAATTTAATCACTACTCTAATAATTATCTTTTTAAAGAAATGTGAAACCAATATAAAAACGTCTTAATACTGCTATATTCTTTTGTATGAAGTACAAGCTCTTTTCATACAACTTCAAGCATAGCCATCTCTGTGCCTTCTATAGGGTACTAATTGCATTTGAATCATTTCACCCCCTGTTATAGCGATCTTCTTTGCATACAATATCTTATTAATTGGATATTAGGAGCAATTATGAATTACTGCTCAATAGCATCAGTTGTATTTAGGCTTGGTATACTTAACATATTATTTGTTTGATCCCGTGAGGAGTTCCAAAAGGTCAACGATTGTCAAGGGATCGAATAGGGGTCGGTGTGCAAATGATCTTGAGCTAAATTTTAGTTAGTGTAAATGTATGTGTAAAATTTGGGTACTTAATACTTGTGAATATAATTACCCAAATCTTACAGCAGCAACCGCGTCATTCCTTCTGAAATTTACCTTCTCCTATATGGTGGAAACTGACTTCAGCCCCCAGTAAGCAGAGGAATCGCCTTAACCTGGAAGAACGTGGCGATATGAGATTGAAGCTGTTCAACATTCTGCCATTTATTAATGCCTTGATTCATTATCACCATGCTCTTTGATGTTATGAATTTCAATAAAATCTATTCCAGCCATATGATGCGTTTTCTAACCGTTTTTCTAACTTTTTTATGTTGTATATTGACTGTCTGCTAGCTGGCTTAATCACTACTCTAATCATACTTTTTAAAGAAATGCCAAACCAATCAAAAAATACTTGGGCTTATATTTTTATATTCTTTTGTATAAAGGTCATGCTCTTTTTATACAACTCCAAGCATGACCATCTTTGTGCCTTCTATAGGGTACTAATTTCAGAGATTATTTGCATTTGAAGCAATTCACTCCAGGTTTTAACCATTTTCTTCGCAGACTATACATTATTAATTGGATACCAGAAGCGTTTCTTCATTTCTATTCAATAAAATCGGCTGTATTTAGGTTTGGCATACTTAATATATTATTTGCTTAATTCATTGCGGTTATTTAATACATTTTCTTAAATATATATATGAGGAAATTTTGAACCTGATGACACTGGGAGGGATTTTGAAACTGAAAATTTCCTCACGTTTCATACATTTTAGTTAACATTTTAAATGCCAACATCAGAGCAAGTTTGAAGTTTCAATGATATTTTAAATGGTGGTCGCTAGGGAAGGAAGAGAAAGAAAATGGGGTCTTTAGACGAAGAACATTTACGATACCTGCTTTATAAGAATTGTTTAATATATATTCATTACATTTAATTACGTACTATTACTCTTGGAAAAGGTATTAATCCACTTCTTCTCCCTGTAGATATGGGTAAATAGCAGACTGGATTCTAAAGTCTTGGATGACAACTAATCCAGAAAAGGATAATTCTGAATTCAAACATGCAGAGTGTTGTTTGGAGAACTTGTGACACGTAGTGCACCAGGTTTCTTTATACGGCCCTTCAAAATGTGTGGTTGGTTCAGCTCAAAGACTTCATCACTACAATCACATCATGTATGGTGATGTCAGGTCTGTTGGTTCCTGCCTGACTCTCATAAGTCGAATACAACGGGAGAATACACCACATATATATATATATATATATATATATATATATATATATATATATATATATATATATATAGTCATAACATGTGCTATATTTATGGGATAAAGTTATAAATTGCGTAATATTAGAGATAGAGCAACTGTAAATATAAAAGTGAACATAGAAGTCAACACTTAGAGGCGACAGTCTGTTTCATGCTAGACGCAATCGTCAGGCCTAGTATGAAACAAATGTCGCCTCTAAGTGTTGACTTCTATGTTCCTTTTATATTATATATATATATATATATATATATATATATATATATATATATATATATATATATATATTGAGACGTGTTTCATTGAAGTTTTATCTACTTATTTTCAATTGGATCCTTTTCATATTCGCGGACAAGATTATTGATGTGATTATTAACGGAAGAGAGAAAATTATCGTGTTGATACATATTCATATATTCTGAGTACTTTCGACATTAGCACAATGTCATAAGGGTATTGGTTATTTTTTCAATACAAATATTGCAGCGTTTATCATTTTCAAAGACAAAATTGCTGTGTTTATCTGAAAGTTGAAATTTTTACTAGAAGAACGAGATATTATGTTATGAGATATGGAAAGCTTAAAACGGATTTAAAATATGTTACTATAAATACTAATATTTTAAACTATTTACTGTAAACATTTCAAATCAAATGTTCTGTATTCATAATTAATTTTATTAAGGGTTAGTTTCAATTTTTAATATAGATCGCTTCAAGAAGTATTAGTTTATGTTTATCATTTTCATGAAAATGTATACATGTATTTTCAGCAAGAATTTTCCTAAATTGCGAATGTGGACAGGCAAGCTGTTGTAAATATTTAGAAATGTTGGACGCATCATTCAAATGAAAACTCAGACTCCGAGACAACGTAGTGGTAGTGTAACCAGCATATATATATATATATATATATATATATATATATATATATATATATATATATATATATGTGTGTGTGTGTGTGTGGTAGGTATATATATATATATATATATATATATATATATATATATATATATATATATATATATATATATATATATATATATATATATATATATATATATTGCAGGTCATAATAAGGATGTCAGTGAACATGATCTCGGAAAACTCTAAATAAGACTGACCCTGCTACACTGTATAAGCAGGGCTAACCGTTGATTCTGTTAGAAATAACCAATGAAAACAATATGATAATCTTGTATCAGGTTGCAATAATAATAATACTGAAAATAAAACCCGACATGACAGAGTGGGCTAATATCTGTAGTGGGAAATCTGCAACTTTTTACGGAAAGGAAACTGCAAGAAATTGGTTTGAACAAATACCCAGATCCGGTTATTCCATATAGATTGTATAACAGTTCTATGGGACTTTACAATGCATATAAACAGAACAATCACAGCTAATCGTCCAGGCATCTTGACCAGAAAATACAAAAACAAAATATGCCTTCTTATTGACATAGCAGTCCCTGCCAAACCCAGCTAGAATTGTTAAAGATCTTCAAAAATTATCAAAATACAAGGACAAAAAATCGAAATTCAATTTAGTTGTAGTTGGAGCCCTCGGTTTGATTGGAAATTGATAAAAAATCTCGTCGAATTCATCTTTGGTAGCTCAAGCCTTAAAAATTAAAAAATAAAAATTTTATCAATCACAGCTCAAGATTTTTTTTATTATCTATATAAATATATGTTATTTTAGGTTTTTTTTTTTTGGTTTTTTTAAATGCTCAGTGGAAAATGTCATTATGCTATTTCAAACATTAGGTCTCATTTTGGGACCCGGATGAAAAGAGAAAGGTATTCACAAGAAATAAACGAACATCCAACGGCGGAAACGTCGTCCTTGGCATCAAATATGAGGATTACATTCCGACACAATGTAAATAGTATTATTATTGTGGGTATATATATATATATATAGACAGAAACAATTTGATATTTATATGTTCTTATCGGAAATGGCTTTCATGGAAATAAATTAAAATGATGAAATTACATTGGAAATATTTAACGAATACGCATGCGCTAACAACAAAAAAAAACGATCACATTTGAAAGACTCATCTAAGATTTCCCTAACACTGTAACAAATGATGCTGACAATATTTGCATCTATCAGCTCGACATATTAGGTAATGTCAAAAAATTTCCGATTTTGGAACAAATTTAATGACGAATAAACCATTATAACCAGTAACCATGCATTGGCTGATTATTTTTCTATGGTTTATCAACGTAGTGTAGGTTATTTAAAACCGGCAAATATTTATAATTTGTAAGTATTTTGAAGATAATAAAAATTCACTGACATAAATTTTACTAATTAACCCATATTAACTGATATTTCTAAGCGGTCACGCATAAAGGCTGTGGCCAGGGTTAATGTTGCTTAACTTCCGTGAGTGTACGGGAACGGATGTTTCAACACGATGTGGTCGTAGTCCTGATTCGCGTAAGGGAAATATACAATTATTGTAGTTCCAATGTGACGAGAGTGTTTTCAAAACTATATTCCTTTTCACTTGATATGACTTAAGATGTTCTTATGCGTTTAGAATAGAGAATATGAAAGAAGAAAAAAACGGAAGAATGGATTCACGAAGCAAATAGGCACATGAAATACGTGATTAACACCAGGAAATGCTAATTGTTCTGAATCGAATTAAAAGTCATTAAATGAACAATTTCTGGTAAAAAAAAAAAAATAAAATAACCTTTGACGAAGTAATATTTACTGGGTAAAGATACCCAAATAGACTCAGTGTGACAGCAGAGCAACAGAGAAGGCAAGTGCATCAACAGGTTGGTAAGATTAACACTATCGTCCTCGCAGAAAATTTGACAGGTGCAGCTCACCGGTTAAAATAAGGAGGCGGAATTGTTAATCGGAGATGCCGAGTTCAATTCCAGTTGGGTTTGTTATATTCACTTACGCGCAAGTCCCTTTGAGAAAAAACTATGAATAAACCTCTTCTTCACCATGTATGGGTTAATTAGTAAACTTTTATCACTAAAACCGTTATTATCTCCCCACCCAGGAAAAACTTAAAAGTTAAAAACATTTTCTAGTTTTCATTCATCTGCAAAAGGTTCATAAGCTGTAGAAAATGAATCAACCAATCGAGCGAGGTTCAGTGGAAATAAAAAACTGTTATAGTGGAACACACCTATTCTATAGTTAATAGACTCTCCCACCTATAATAAGTAGGAGTAGTAAGAGTAACGAGTGGGCTCAGTGGGTCGGGCAGTGAGTCGATGCCGGACGACCGTTAGACGGATACTAAAGTATCAGCGACCACTACTAGATTTCTCTGCGTCATTATCTATTATATCAAGTTCCTAACGTTTTGTACGTCAAACCTATTTTAGGACCGACTTAGACGAAATACACAAGACTCCAGTGAGAATTTTAGAGGGTTGCTAACACAAATCTAGATATTCTCGGGCCTTTATGAGAGTGAACCTCTCTAATTTTGGTTTCAATAAATATTTGACCATTTTGTTTTTTTTTTTTTCCGTGAATTAATTTATTAGCATTCACTGCCATATATCCGAATGTGTCATAGCCTGACGTCAATTGAGGCAAATTCTGTGTTTCTAGCGAAATAAGAATAGTTTTGCGTTTATTTGTGTTCATTCAGTCAACCACTTCCACAAGACATTTTCCCTTTTTTAACTGTATATTTTATGTGTTAAAAACGTCAAGTAACATGACTGGTATAAAACTAACTATTTGAAAGCTCACGCATCTATCAGGTTATTCTTGTTCTTCCACTGTTTAAAAGATTGAGCGTTTTTTTTTTTTTTTTTTAATTTTTGCTTTTTAGCGGTCGGTTGTTTTGATATGTCACAGAATTTTTAATTGATTTTTGTTTTTGCCATCGTTAATTGCCGCCTATTAACGAGATTCTTTTTTTTTCCTCAGCGTCCTCTGTTATAAGCCCCTAAATTGGCCAAATGGGCTCTGACCAAATCACTTGCATCAACGAGTATTTACGTATTGTTCATTCTTTCTTCTTGTTTTTTTTTTTGTCTATTTTATTTTTTGAAAACCACGATTTTATTTCACGTTCTTCCATTAACCCGTAGTCAAAAAAAAAAAAAAAACAATAATTAAAAAGAAGAAAATGATAAAAGAATCACTAGGCATGCAAAGCTGTCGCTGAGGCAAAATTAATAACCTATTTAAATAATAGAGACAGACAGACACACACAAAAAAAAATCAAGTTTGAATGGTAACAGAAGAAGACTCATAATTATATAAATCATCTCTTTAATAAAATGGACTTCATACAGATACAAAAAAACATTTTTTACCCTTACGTGCGCATTGAAAAATACAAGAGGTTTTCAGCAAAACAAGGTTGAATTTATGGAACTTTACTTTTAGAATTAGTTTATTTAACGATTCTATTAATTTTATTCGTTCTATTTTTCCCTATTTTTTTCTTTTATAAATTATAAGCCAAACAACTGGTTTAAAAAATGTTTAATGACCCGAAAATACGTCTGGAATTATTATCTCATCTGATGGATATTCGTATTCATGTCAGCATTTCATTGATTTGAGTAACCAATCAAGTTTCAATGAAATCCATATCACGAAAAACAGCGTATATAATCTAATTTATCATCACTTTTGTTTGGAAAGTCTCTCTCTCTCATCACACACACAATTACACAAAGTCTCTCATCTAGTTCTCTCTCCTCTCACACGATATCTATCTATCAAATTCGTTTTGTACAATCAATCAAAATCAATCAATCTATCGTCGCCATCATCTATCTATCTATCTAATACCATTTGTGGACAATCTATCTATCTATCTATATATATATATCTATATCTATATATATATGGATACGGTTTGATTCTCCTTTCTCTCTCTCTCTATCTATCTATCCATTTCGGTTTGAACTATCTATGAAATTCGTTTTGTACAATCCCGCCATCTATCTATCTCTTCAGATCTCTCTGGATTCTCTCTCTCTCTTCTCTGGCAACTGGTCTGGGGGAAGGACAACTCTAATTACCCATCTATCTATCAGTTTCGGTTCGAACAATATATCTATCTAGCGATCAAATTCGTTTTGTATTCAATCTATTCATCTATCTATCTATCGATCTAGTTCTCTCTTCAAATATCCCGGTGTCTCTCTTTTCTCGTATTTAAAATTTCGAATTTTACGCCTACCTGCCTATATATTCAATATCATAATTTTAAAAATACGATTCTCAGGCAAATAAAAAAAATTCCCCATTGTAGGTTTAGCCCGGTGTTCTCCAGATCGCATTTTTAAAAATAAAAACTAAATACTAAAGAAAGACATTATTTATAATCTCTGTTTATCTATTTTTACCACTTTATTTCAATTTATTTATAAATATATTTATATTCATTTCATATTTTTTTTTCATTTCGAATAAATCGTAGGTGGTGTAACGGTTATCGACGTTTCGAAGGGGTCATCAATAAGAATTTAATTTCAATGACCGAATCTGGTACATTCAATTTAGTTCTAATGTCCCTGGACATGGGTATGATTATCTCTAACTTTTCGTATTTAAAAATTATGAAAAAAAAAATAAGGGTAGATTGGGATCTCGTCATGAAAGTAGAAGGTTGTCACCAAATATTAACAAAGGAAAAAAAAATGTGAAACGACAACACCATTCAAAACTACGTAGTAAATATTCATACTATAATTATTCCATAATAAAAAATGAAAATGGAGAGCCAGTGGTTAAGGCTTAATATCATTAAAACCAACATTCATTTTTTCGAAATGTTTATATTTGTTGCTGCGATCAGTTTTATTTTTCTAGCCATTTTTACAAAATTTAATTATAATATAGGCTCTACTTGTGTATCGAGCACTTTTTTTAAAAATATAAACAAAAATACTAAAGAACTTCGGATAAACTATCTAACGGTTCTTTTATTTTTGTCAATATATTTGAAACATATATATATATATATATATATATATATATAGATATATAAAGAAATAATCATACATAGATCAATCAGTAATATTAATGCGATTAATGGCGAAACCACTTCCCTATTAGAAACATAATGTATGCATTAAAATACTCTTAATCCATTGAATGATGTGATCCTCATTTATAAAAAACTGTTGTCAGATGTTTCCAGTTTATATTTTTTTTTTAAATAAGCAAGTACTTTCGAAGATCCATTATTCATCCTCAGGCTGTATATTTTTTCCTTTAAAGTTAAAACTTGAAGACGAAATAATTGTTTATAGACCGAAAGATGTTTTTTTGGATTAACAGTATTTTAATGCAAACATTATGTTTCTAATAGCGAAGTGATTTCGCCATTAATCGCATTAATATTGCTGATTCTATGTATGATTATTTCTTTATATATAAAATATATGCTGCCTAATTTAATATATATATATATATATATAAAAGAAATATAATGTAGTGGTTCCAACGAGAGAAAAGTATGTATATTAAAAAGAAGAGAAGAGAAAAGAAGAAGTTGTAATGTGGAATTTTTGGTTGTAATATTATGAATTATTTAAAAAAAATATTATTCTTTTTTTTAATAATTTTACGAATTTGTTTCTGAATTGAAAGAAAGAAATTCAGATTACGTCTTCACAAACAGAAAATGTCTCATATCGAGAATATTTAACATTGAACATTCCTCTTAATTATTTTAAAAATTTGGAAATTCCACTTTTACCTGAAGACGGTCGCGAGACCAGAAACACGTGTCGAAAAATTATGTAAAATAAAGCATAATATTTTTCTAAATAAAAATTACAACAAAAAATGTTTGCGGCACCTCTTATTTATATATATATATATATATATATATATATATATATATATATATATATATATATATATATATATATATTCGTGAGAGTCAGAATGTAAGTAAATATTTATATCTTACTATTTCATGGGAAGGGATTTATTTATATCTTACTGGCAACAAGATCCAGATGCGAACCCCAGGAAAAATAAAAAATGGTGCTTAAAACGCAAATAGAAAATTGGCGCAATAAGATATTCCTTCATTAGTTGGCATTATGCCTTATTAAATAACACGTCAATTTTCGTGTTTACTCTTGTTGAGTATGAGCACCTGTTTATCGTTCTTCAGGATGCCATCGGGAGACGGAGAGAGAGAAAAGAAAGAGAGAGAGACTTTTCCTAACTAACCTGTGTTTACTTTACCGGGTGCAAAGTTCAAGCAAATAACAGTTGAATCGATCAGGGCGAGGCGTTTTCCACACGCGATTTGCTGTGCTGCCGGGACCTAAAAGGTCAGCTTCAAGCCGTAGGCGACTCAGTGTTGAATGTTTACGACAGAAAAAGTAACAGGAGCCGCCGAAGTGCGGTAAATATCTTCCACGGAGAAGTCATCTTCGGTCATAAAAGACAGTGGAAGCAAACAGCGATGGCGTTGACATGACTCGCACCAGCATTTGGAAATATATGCACATTTGCTAAAACAAACTACATACATGCACATTAAGATCAATAACATTCAATATAGATTACACACACACTTGCAGAGTGCGATAGATAAATTGTCGTCAGAATTACGCAAGAATGAAAATAACACTGACATCTCATTTTAACAGAATTACAGGGTGCGAGTATAAATTGTCATCTAAACGACGCAGAAATGAAAATAACACTGCATCTCATTTTGAAAGAAAGACAGTGTACGATGGATAAACTCTCATTTAAATTACGGAGAAATAAAAAATAACACTGATATCTCATTTTTAAAAAAAAATACAGATGCGATGGATAAATTGTCATCTGAATGACGCTAAAATTAAAATAACTCTGTCATCACATTTTAACAGATATACTTTACCAAAATTACATAAATATCTTGAAATGTTCAATAAAATCACGATTGGCTTAATCAAGCCCTCCAGAAAATTTCGGAATCTCCTGCAACACTTCTGGGCTTTTTCCTTGTTTAACTCATCGAATGCTGTCATAATCATTGCCTTCAGTTCATCTTTAGTGTTACAAGGTGTTTTGTTAGTCTCTCGCTCAAATGCGTCCCATACATAATAATCAAGGGGGTTGTAGTCTGTTGAGTTAGGTGGCCAGATGAAAGGGGTTATGTGGTCGAAGAAATTATCTGGCAGCCACGACTGGGTTCTCCTGCTTGTGTGTCATGGTGCAGAGCCCTGTTGCCAGGCATAGGGTCATTCAGCAACCACTCTCTTGACCGAGGGCAGTACTACCTCCTCGGGGTAATATGTAGGACCTTGTGTAATTCTGAGACCCTGTGGACAAATGAATGAAGGTTTAACGTCTCCATCAATGCTAGTGATCACTTTGAAATACCATGGAGTTGAATGGTATATATAAAATTGCGACAACTTGTACACCATCACTTCATATATATATATATATATATATATATATATATATATATATATATATATATATGTTCACAATCATATAATTGTATTTAAGTAAGTAAATATAAATGTATCGTAAACACGCACATGCATGCATCATCATTGTCACTAGCAAACTCTCTCTCACTATATATAAATGTATATATATACAAATATATATATATATATATATATATATATATGTATATATATATATGTATATATATATATATATACAAATATATATATACAAATATATATGATAAGAATTAATGGAATATAAGAAAAAAAATCTTATTAACAATTTTTAAATGAAAGAACAACTTAAATTCATTTTTTGCAGGATGTCTAAACATTTTATTTGAAAATCTGCTTGTTTATAAAATCTTTGCATTGGAAAGAATTATGGCTCTCATGAAAATCTATATTGGTGAAAGTTTTTGATTTTGTGAAAAATCCATACTTGAATTTTTTTTTTTTTTGCTTCAGCAAAGAAACGTTAAGAAACAGTTTACTAAATAAAGAACGGATGAATTGCAGAAAACAGAAGAGATAAAGAATTTGCTCCAAATTTTTTTTTATTTTTTTCAAAAAAATTTTAAGAAAAGGATTCAGGTTATTATAAAAGAAAGAATGATGGAATTGTCAATTTTTTTAAACAACTTTTACCTGAAATGTCAATAACTGGAAGTTAAAAAAAGTGCAAATGCCGAAGTAAACTTTAAAAAAGATTTAGAAATGTAGAAGAAAGATGGACAGAAGAACAGAAATGATTAAAGATATCTTACTGGAATTCTCCCAGGTTTTTTTTACATTAACTGGAGATATCTGTCTTAATTATTTTTTGCGGGCGAGTCCCATACATGCAACTCTGAAGAAGGGTTGCGGAATTCAAGCAGGGTAGGGACAACACAGATGAACCTTGGTCTCCCAAAACCTCAATTACAAGTTGATATAATTCCGTGTGTGGTTTTGGATGACAGACTTTTTACTGTCCATCAGATAGGGAAGTCTGTAGGCATTAGTTCTGCTCCGGTACCTACTGTTATAACTTGTTTATCTTGAGCATGAGCAAACTGTCTGCAGAATGGATACTAAGGATGCTGACACAAGGCAGAAACTGACATGAAAGAAAGTTTTTCTCAGTCGGACTAAATAATTAGAACGAAAGAAAGAAAGAAAGAAAGAAATCTTTTGGGGGACTAAGTAATTAGGAATAAATAAATAAATAAAGAAAAAAGAAAGAAAGAAAGAAAGAACGAAAAGAATTTTCGGAGGACTAAATAATTAGAAAGAAAGAAAGAAAGAAAGAAAGAAAAAAGAAATAAAAGAAAGAATTTTTCGGGAGGATTAAGTAATAAGAAAGAAAAGAAAGAAAGAAAGAAAAGAAAAATGTTTTTTGGGAGGACTAATTATAAAGAAAGAAAGAAAAAGAAAGAAAAAAAGAAAGAAAAAATTTTTTCGGGAGGACTAAATAATGAGAAAGAAAGAAAGAAAAAAGAAAGAAAGAAAAAAGAAAGAAAGAAAGAAAAGAAGTATTTTTCGGGAGGACTAAATAATTAGAAAAGAAAGAAAGAAAGAAAGAAAAGAAAGAAAAAGAAAGAAAGAAAAAAGAAAAGAAGGATTTTTTCGGGAGGATTAAGTAATTATAAATAAATAAATAAATAAAGAAAGAAAGAATGAAAGAAAGAAAAAAATCTTTTGGGAGGACTGAGTAATTAGCAATAAATAAATAAATTAATAAATAAATAAATAAAAAAAGAGAGAACGAAAAAAATTTTTTAAGGAGGACTAAATAATTAGAAAGAAAGAAAGAAAGAAAAAAGAAAGAAAGAAGGATTTTTTCGGGAGGATTAAGTAATTATAAATAAATAAATAAAGAAAAGAAAGAAAGAAAGAAAGAAAGAAAAGAAAAAAAAAAAAAAGAAAGAAAAAAGAAAGAAAGAAAGAAAAGAAAGAAAAAAAGAAAGAATTTTTCAGGAGGATTAAGTAATAAGAAAGAAAGAAAGAAAGAAAGAAAGAAATAAAGAAAGAAAGAAACAACTTTTGGGAGGACTAAATAAGGAGAAAATTGGGAAAAGAAAGAAAGAAAGAAAGAAAGAAAAGAAAAGAAAGAAAGAAAAAATGTTTTGGGAGGACTAAGTAATTATAAATAAATAAATGAATAAAGAAAGAAAGAAAGAAAGGATTTTTCGGGAGGATTAATTAATCAGAAAGAAAGAATGAAAAATTAAGAAAGAATTAATCGGGAGGATTAAGTAATTAGAAAAAAAGAAAGAAACAAACAAACAAAGAAAAGAAAGAATCTTTTGGAAGGACTAATTAATATGAAAGAAAGAAAAAAAAAGACGAAGCTCGTTAGGAATGAAAAAAAAAACCATTGTTGAACATTCTTAGAAAGAAAAAAAACTAATTATGTCTTATTTTTTGTGCCGGTGAGGCTCATAAGAAGTTGAGAGGTGGGAGACAAATCTAAAAAGGTGCAAAACAGAAGCAGAAACAGTCATAAAGAATCTACGAAAGAAAGGCATGACATTCAAGGAAATCTATGACGACATGGTGCTGACACTTGTTGAGAATCTCCCCCATTGTATGCAACTGTGAAGAAGGGGTCTGCCGACTTCAAGTAGGGTAGGGACAGCCCAGATGACCCTCGATCAGGTCATCGAAGAACCTCAATCCCTGATAAACACGTTGATGCCATTGACCGTACGGTTTTGGATGATAGACGTCTTACTCCCAAGAAGATAGCTGGGGGTCATAAGCCTTAGTTCTGGTTGCGCAAGGGCCAAGACGTTTTAACAAAAAAACAAAAAAAAAAACCAAAGATGAGGACATTAGTTCGAATGTAAATACTGCAAATATATTCTCCCATCTCGGAGAGAAAATGTTTTGACATTCATGATGGCATATGAAATAAAACTAACAGGCAGCCAAAATATTCTTTTATTCATTTTTAACCTCTTTGCAGGTTATTTAAAGGCAGAACATAGTTTTAGGTTTGAAGAAGATTTTTTTTTTTGAGATAATGATGATTCATTGATACAATTTTACGAATTAACCCGCTGCTGGCAGGGAAGACGTGGATTCATGCCTTTTCCAAGGGTATTTTCAAAAAAGGAAAATAACGAACTGAACTGGAAATGGAACTCGGATTTCTTATTAACAATTCCTGGCCATTATCTAAACACCAGACACAAATCCAAGCTTACAGCATCTCGTATTCCCAAGCAGTTACCCATCGAAGTACTGACCAGGCTCGACATTCCTTAACTTCAGTGATCGTATAGGAACCATTGTCTCAACCTGATGTGGCCATAAGACCAACTATTTGGTGGGGCAGTGTATAATTCTACGTCTTCAATTTCTTGTTTATAATAAAATATGGATTTGATATTGTCTTCTTTTTTTTTCTTCAAATAGACCTCGAGCACGCGATTTTCTCATCGTCCCGTAATATGACGAACACTGTGAATGGCCGGGTCTCATAAATGGCAATCACGAATTAATAGTTATTGGCCGATTGCCAAGCAACGCTCTTGAGGTAGAAATGTCCGTATCAATCAGCCTATTGTGTTTGACGTGATTCAAATATCGATAACTGTCGATACATATTTCGGTTATAGACCGTTTTCTAAGGTTGTGGAAGTTTTCAAAATTGGACATACTGTCTGAGACCTCGAGTGACGCAGCAAAAATAGCGGCGTCTTGAAATACTAAATCACTTCGAAATGATCTACTAATTTAATATTAGCAAAAAAAAAAAAAGACCTAGATCGTGCTGACCAGAAAAAATGTTTCAAACGTTGTTACAGCGTAAGATTAGTAGAACGGGCATCAAGAGGGCAGCTATTATGCTTCTGAATCGCCTACCTCTGTCTTTTTTGACAAATACTTTCATGGTAACTGCTCCAATAAGCTGCTTTCGCTGGTTCCCCAGACTTTATGAATTCAACTAGGCTGGCATCTCGCTAACACCCTTTCACTGTCGAAACTGTTAAATATAGCTGTCTCTTCTACTCCAAGAGCTTCATGTCTCTCACCTCTCGTCTGCGTAACTCCCTCCTCTTTTCTTGTTTCTCTGATAGCTATAATCTCCAACTATTCAAATGTAATGTCAATCGACGTCTCCAGATGCCCTGATCTAATCCCTATCCTTCTCTTCATCCTTTCCTCTATCACTCCTCTTTACTCTCGCTCCAACTCTCTGTAACCACTTGCGTGTTAATGGCTTCCCGCATTGCTTAAGAAATGAAAAAAAAATGAAAAAAAAAAATAAAAAAGAAGGTATATTCCTTCTTATGGCGAGAACAAAAGCAGGACTAGTTATAGAGCAAAGGAAGTCTCACGCACATCAAAAAAAGCAGGAACGATCCTGCTGAAGAATAATATCGACTTCTTATTTGGGAGAATATTAATATGCCACAGGTTAAACAGCGTTCTGGGGCGGAGCGTTGACTATTGAAACCCCCAATGGAGTAACCAAATAAAACATGGCGTCTGTCCATCAAATAGAGAAAATATTATTGGCAGAGATTTGGACTGTCATATTTCTGAGATTTCTGAGATGGTTATGTACACTATTTACATTATTTGGACTATTGTCCTCATCTTTCTGTCTATATTTCTGAGATGAGGTATTATGTACATTATTTACATTATTCGGACTAATGTCCTCATCTTTCTGTCTATATTTCTGAGATGAGGTATTATGTACCCTATTTACATTATTCAGACTAATGTCCTCATCTTTCTGTCTATATTTCTGAGATGAGGTATTATGTACATTATTTACATTATTCGGACTAATGTCCTCATCTTTCTGTCTATATTTCTGAGATGAGGTATTATGTACACTATTTACATTATTCAGACTATTGTCCTCATCTTTCTGTCTATATTTCTGAGATGAGGTATTATGTACACTATTTACATTATTCGGACTATTGTCCTCATCTTTCTGTCTATATTTCTGAGATGAGGTATTATGTACACTATTTACATTATTTGGACTATTGTCCTCATCTTTCTGTCTATATTTCTGAGATGAGGTATTACGTACACTATTTACATTATTCGGACTATTGACCTCATCTTTCTGTCTATATTTCTGAGATGAGGTATTATGTACACTATTTACATTATTTGGACTATTGTCCTCATCTTTCTGTCTATATTTCTGGACTATTGTGAGGTATTATATTTCAGTAATATTATTTTTACATTATTCGACTATTGTCCTCATCTTTCTGTCTATATTTCTGAGATGAGGTATTATGAGGTATTTTAAAATATTTACATTATTATTAGACTATTGTATTGTCTCATCTTTCTGTCTATATTTCTGAGATGAGGTATTATGTACACTATTTACATTATTCGGACTAATGTCCCATCTTTCTGTCTATATTTCTGAGATGAGGTATTATGTACACTATTTACATTATTCGGACTATTGTCCTCATCTTTCTGTCTATATTTCTGAGATGAGGTATTATGTCCTATTATTTGGACTATTGTCCTCATCTTTCTGTCTATATTTCTGAGATGAGGTATTATTTACGTATTTACATTATTCAGACTATTGTCCTCATCTTTCTGTCTATATTTCTGAGATGAGGTATTATGTACATTATTTTACATTATTTGGACTAATGTCCCCATCTTTCTGTCTATATTTCTGAGATGAGGTATTATGTACATTATTTACATTATTCAGACTAAATTCCTCATCTTTCTGTCTATATTTTTAGATGAGGTATTATGTAATTATTTTCTTATTTATTCGACTAATGTCCTCAAACATTCTGTCTATATTTCTGAGATGAGGTATTATCTTTATCTGTCAGAATATTTACATTATTCAGACTAATGTCCTCATCTTTCTGTCTATATATTTATGAGATGAGGTATTATGTACATTATTTATTATTCGGACTAATGTCCTCATCTTTCTGTCTATATTTTCCATGAGGTATTATTTGGCCTATTTACATTATTCAGACTAATGTCCCATCATCTTTCTGTCTATATTTCATTATTTATGAGAATTATTTCGCTCAATATTATTGAGACTAATGTCCTCATCTTTCTGTCTATGAATCTGAGATGAGGTATTATGTAATTATTTATGATTATTTAAACTAATGTCCTCATCTTTCTGTCTATATTTCTGAAATGAGGTATTATAAAATAACATTATTCATTTTAAAGTCCTCATCTTTCTATTATATTTCGAAATGAGGTATTATGTACATTATTTACATTATTCGGACTAATGTCATTTCTTTCTGTTAATATTTCTTAATGATATTTTGAATTAAAATTAAAACATCTTTTTACATTATTTTATTTAACAATGTCCCTTTTTAAAACCTGTCTATATATATAAAGATGAGGTATTAAAAAGACATTATTTACCATTATTCCCACTAATGTTAAATTTTCTGTCTATATTTAAAACAGGTATTATGCTACATTATTTACAAATTGCTATTCAAAATGTTTAATCAATCTTTCTGAAAAAAAAATTATTTAAAAAATAATTAATTTCTGAAAAAAAATGAAAATTAATGTCCAACCATTTTCTTATGTTTGAGATGAGGTATTTTTACATTATTTACAAAATATTACTAATGTCCTTTCATATTTGTATTTTTGAATCAAAAATTATAAATCCTTTTTGATTATTCTGAAATTTATCGTCCCTCATCTTTGTCTATATTTTTGAGATTTAAGTTATTATGTACATTATTTACATTATTTGGAATAATGTCCTCATCTTTCTGTCTATATTTCGAATATGAGGTATTATTACATTATTTACATTATTCGGATTATTCGTCCTATTTATAATGAACAATTTATTAAAACCCGGATATATTTCAGCTATTCGCTCCTGAAACCAAACATAAATTGTGACTACAATATGGCAAAATTAAAATAAAAAGTGCCAGAAAAAAAATTTTAATAATTTGTTTAAAATGCAATAAACTCTGGTAAAAATGTTTGTTGAGACCTTGGTTTATAAACATGCGAAATTTTACACAGATGTCCTGTTAGGACATGGTTAATAAACAAGTTTTTGGTTAAAAAGATCCAGGGATTTTTTAAATAAAGAGTTGAGTTCAATACCCAGGTTTATGTTAGAAATAGAATTTTCAAAGGAAATTAATTTGACATAACTGATAACGATATCCATCAAACATGGCAGTTTTTAAAATAATATAACCACCTATACATTCCAAATCCATCTGAAGAAGGCAGGAGCGTACAACGGCCGAAACGTTTTAATAAATATGGTATTTTGTAAAATGAGGACGATAGTCCAAATAATGTATTTAAAAAATTCTTTGAATAAAATATTGCATAAATAATATATAAATATAATAGTTTTACAAAATTGGTTCAAAAGTCTTGTCCTCTCCTTACCAATAAGTAATTGAGAACAATTTAAAGATTTATAAAGTAATTTCTTAATGGTTAAAGCAATGTGTGACTAGATTCCGTTTATTCATGATATTTTATACAATATAGTAAAACATTAAATCTTCCAAAAAAACTTTTTTACCCAAGAGGATGCCTAGATCAAAGACAAATATAAAATTTTCCCCCAATATCTTCTATAAAGTATCTGAGAGGAAATATTTTTTATTACCGCTTATTCAACAAAATTTTTAATGCCCTTATCCCGAGTCATTATATATATATTTATATATAAATAATCATATAAATAAATCGAATCTGAACCAAATATAATGTTTCAAAGCATTCTATTCGGCATATAAAATGGACTTAAATATTAAATATTTGTTTGAAATAAACCATAAGATATTGAGAGAAATATATATATATATATATATATATATATATATATATATATATATATATATTTACATGTGTGTATGTGTTTTATATATTATATGTATAAACATATATAAAAAAAAATATATGAAAAAAAAAAAAAAAAATCCTTATATACAAATTATGTTTTTTAATGTTAATTGATCAACGTTATCATGTTTCGGTCTAATAAACCATCTTCAGGACATATTCATAAATTATAACATTATCAATACAACATGACAAAGACGATGTACATAAGAACAAGACTTATCCAAAAAATAACTGAAAGTTTTATAAAATCAGCGCCCGTTTAAAACATGGTCACGTTGTCATGTCACGTGGGCGACGCTGTGGAAATTATTTTCCCAAAAACCAAGAATTATTTATTTTTTCTTCATTCTTATTTGTACGCTTGTCGAGCATTAATATTTTTAAAATTGTTTTCCTTATAAAGAAGCCATTTCTAGTATTCACATTTGCGTGAGATGGATATTATGCCTGCTTCATAAATCCTAACCTAAGATTTTTATTATGAAAATATTTTTAAATATTTTTGATTCCGTGAAGATTTTAAAATATTTTCATCAAACTGATCTTATAAAACTTTCAGTTATTTGTTTGGATAAGTTTGTTCTTATGTACATCGTCTTTGTCATGTTGTATTGATAATGTTTATATTTTTGAAATATGTCCTGAAGATGGTTTATTAGACCGAAACGTCCGACGTTGACATATTAACATTAAAACAACATAAATTGTATATAAAATTTTTGTTTGTTTTTCCGTATATATTTTTCTTCATATATATATATATATATATATATTTTTATATACAGAATTTGGACATATATATATATATATATATATATATATATATATATATATATATATATATATATATATATATATATAAAGAAATTTAGAGTTTTTGTATATTATTTGAATTAAAACCCTTATGACGATGGATTTCTCGCCATTTAAATCATTAACCTTTTGCATTTGTTTTTGTGTGCATAAATCATGAATTTTTAAAATTGATTGCAATTTTTTGTCAATATATATATATATATATATATATATATATATATATATATATATATATATATAAAAAACAATAAACTGATTTAAATATATTTTTTTCGTTATTTACAAATAAATTAATGTTTTAAAATATCTAAAATGAAATCTTCAAATTTAATTTTGTAATAAATTAAAAACATTAGTACCATTTCATCCTTTTAAAATTAAATTATAAAGCTTTCAGCAATTTTTTTTTGAAACATGGTGAATAATTTGTAGAAAAAAAAAACATATTTTAAAATCAGTTAATTTATAATATTAATGCTCTTAAATTTACATTGAGCACTCTTTTGTAAAAATAAAAATAAAAATAAGAATTTAAGGATTATATATCTTACTGTTATTTTTTTTTTATATATATATATATATATATATATATATATATATATATGACCTTAACTACATATATTTTTTGAAACATGTAATTGTATGCCTTCAGCGACAGAGATTTTGTACATAATTTTATACTTTCAACGTAATGGTATATTTTATATACACAGGGTGGTCCGAAATTATTGTCACTCCCTACCAATAAGTAATGAGAAAAATAGACGAACAAGTAATACAGTAATACAAAGCACAT